GCACCGCTGCCCGTGCCCTGCCCGGCCCAGGGCGCTCGGCCCCTCCCGAGCGCAGCTTTGCTGCCTGCCCGCCCCCTGAGTTCCTTTTTCCTTCTTAGCGATGGAAAACATCAAAGGAGCAACCATCGGAGCCGCTGTCGGAGTAGGTGAGGGTCCGGCGTTGGATCGGCATCGCTGCCCGGTCCTGTCCCCCGGCTGGCAGTGGGGGGACCCGGCCGGGCTGGGGGGGCTGCGATGGCCGGGGAGACTTTGGGTGCAGCTGCGAAGGAGGGGGCAGCGCTGGCCTGTGCCTGGAAATGTGTCCGCACCCGCCGCTGCAGCCCTGCACGCCTCACCTCTCCTCCCGCAGAATGGGGCGTCCCCATCCCTGCACCCCACAGCCCTCGCTCCCCGCTCTGACGCCTCTGTCCTTTCTGGGGGCCTGGGTCCGGTGCGCTGGTGGCAGGGGGTGGCGGAGACCACAGTGACACCGTCACGTCCTGCCTGCAGGTGTGGCACTCGTTGGCATCCCGCTGGGCATCTGTGCGCTGGGGTTCACGGCAACCGGCATCGCCGCTGGGTCCGTGGCTGCCAAGATGATGTCAGCAGCCGCCATAGCCGGCAACGGAGGAGTGGCTGCCGGCAGCACCGTGGCCATGCTGCAATCGATCGGTGAGTGGGGAGAGCAGGGGAGCTGAGCTGCGCTGGTTCAGCCCCAGAGGGTTGTACGGGGTTATGTGCTCGGCTTGCTGTAGAGCCAAACCAGCCCTTTAACCCATCTTTGGTCTGAATCACCCAAAACTGGGGGGAAGGGGTAGATCCACGATGCGGTAGGAAGAGCCTTGGGGCACCCAAGGCTGAGGACATCGGGGGCCATGCAGGTAGGCTTCTGCTCTTCTGCCAAGACCAACGCCTGCGTTCGTCGGCAGCGCTGGCCGGAGCCAGAAAGGGGCTGGCTGTGCCTGGGGAGCAGAGCTGGCTCCCCGGTGCAGTCTGGAGAGGCCCTTGGCTACCTCTGCCTTGGCTACCTCTGCCTTGGCTACCTCTGCCCGATTCTCGGTCCCTCAGCAGGCAGCATCGATGCCCCCGGGGCATCACACCTCTTCCTGTCTTTGCAGGAGCTGCGGGTTTCTCTCTTGGTGCCAAAATTGGGCTGACATCTATGCTGGGGCCGCTCGGTGCAGCAGTCGGTGCCAAGCTGTTCAAGGGGAAGACAACTCCAGATGACGAACCCGAGCAAAGCCAAGAAGGTGACTGAGCCCGAGGTTTCTGCCGGGCAGCGTGGCAGGGCTGGGAAGCCCCTGCAGACCCCCAGCGCCTCGGCCACCCTCTTCAGAGCTGCGGATCCCCTTGAGCAATGAGTGCATTGAAACCAATAAAGGTGGTTTGCAGGTGGGGGTGTCGTGGTGGTCGGTGTGCAGTCGGGGCCCGGGTACCCGCCGAGCGCCTCGGGGTTCGCAGTGGGCCAGGAACAGACCCAGCCTGGCAGTTTTTTCCGTCCTGCACTCTCTGCCCATGAAAAGCCGAGACGCTGGCCAGGCTGTGGATAGGTTTGTTATAAACGATGTTTAATTCACATTGTGTGTGGTGACAGAGGACAGACTGGACTGTCTGTGGCACGTGTCCCACACTGTGTCCCAGGCGTGGGTGAACAAGGCTCTCCTTGGCAAGCAGCTGGGTTTCAGTTACTATACTTAATTTATATATACTATAATTAATTACCTAAAATAAATGCCTTGAGCCACAGTGTTAGTCAAGAAGCAGACACAGTATTTCCCTACCACTTCTGCACTTCACAGGCCATCGTTCTTAATCATATTTCTGATTTTCCCTGTCTCCCGATGTGAACACCAGCTAACCCTGTGCAAACCCAGCTCGCCTCAAATGATGGTATGAAAGTATCAGCTGCATCATCATCATCATAAAAAATTAAGCCTCCATTAAAATAAATACCACCCTTTGCACCTCCAGACAGTCATAGGATGCCTGTTGGTGATCGTGGCTGCACCAGGGTGTGCATAATTTTGGATGCTCATTCATCAGGCTGCTGGGAACATTTCATCAGCGCTCATGTCATTTTTTTGCTCGCGATTCCCCTGTCTGTGTTCAAGGGCCATCTCCGGTTCCTGGGCTTGGTGGCTCCTAACACGGAGGAGCCTTAGGGACCTCGCTCGGAAACCCGTGTGACTTTCCCTGCCCTGGCTGGAAGCCACAGCAAGCGCTGTATAATGAGGTCTCGGGTGAGCGATGGCGTTTCCGTGTTACTGTGGCTCTTGGGCGATTCTGGGATTTCAGGGCAACAGAGCAGCGGCGATGTTCGGTCCCGAGGACTCTCCGGCTCACTTATGGCGTCGGGCACCGCTCGAGCAGCCACCCCTTCCCCTGCATTCGGTCTGGGGGCAGGGTCCCCGTAACATACTCTGCTGGTGATTGACTCAAAGAGGGGCAAAAGTCGGTGTGAGCTGCTGTACGGCCCTGTGGGAAAGACCAAGCCTTGCTGTGAAGGTATTAAGCTGCTATTTAAATGCTGGCTTAGAAACAGCTAACCCCCCCCGCCCCTTAAAATCTGCGAGATTCTGCTTTTAAACTTAGATTCCAACATCATACAGGAAATGAGGATGTACTCTTTTATTAAGGTTAAAGGTTTTTAATCACTTTTCCAGAATACAGATACGATTCAAACAAAAACTATTTTTGGGGTCTCAATAATTCACTTATTAATACCATACATTGAACTCTATAAATTCTCATATAAGAAAAAGTCTTTTTAATATAGGTTATGATGCACTGGTGACCTATTTAAATCTTTTGAAGTAACACTTTGCAGTTATATAGCACCTTTCATCACGGGGCTGCAAAGCATCCTACAGAATTTAGCCTCATAATGCCCAAACGAGGTAGGAAAGTCTGGCCAATTTACAGATGGGTACAACCGAGGTACAGATTGGCAAGGGACGAACCACGAGGCTTCATCGATACACCAGTAGTGATCTGCAGTGTACGCTGGACCCTGGGCTATATAATGAGTCAGTGGCTTAACTGGGGAGAAAGTCGCAAGTCCTCACCCACACCCTCCCCTCAAAGGCAGAAGCCTGGCTCCCAGCAGGTCGAAAAGACCTTTTCGAATTTTTCTGGCTTTTTGTGTTATAAATGTGTAGAAGAGAGAATAAAAGGTTCAAGACTCGTAGACCTAAGACCCTAGGTATGCTGTTTGTTGGCATATCTAACAGTCGGCTATGAACCACAAAATTCACCAAGCCATAGCTGACGTGGCTATTGCAGCCGGCAGCGACAAGGCTGAACACCGGGACGTTGGACTGGACTTGGGTTAATTAAAATTTTGCATTTGGGAATGCGTTTTGAGATTTGGTGCTTGATGCTTTGTTTAGCTTGACTGTTTAATTGTAATAAATTCCCTCTTTCCTTCTGAGCAGGTGATAATCTAAGATATTTCAGGTTCTGTTTCTTTAATAAAAACCGTATCTCTGCTGAAAAACCATTAGCTTAGTGAAGGTTACTGTCCAAAGGAAATTGTAGTAGTGTGGCTAGAAGAATCCAAGATGCCTGGGCTCCTTTGAACTTTTATGACTCTTAAAACCATCCTACAGCCTTGCAACGCTCCCTGGACCAGACCTAGCGCTGGTGCCATCGACTGAGCACTAATGACCCCCAAGGCAGCAGCATCTATTGATGAAAAGTGAAAAATAAAAAAGCTGTTGCAGATTTTGTGATTTGCCGTGAAACAGCAGAACAGGTAGCACGCTAGGTGCAGGAACTGAAACGCTTTTAAATTCAGGTTTCTCGCTAAGTTTGTCCCATCTATGATACGTGCCCCCATTCGCTAATTTTTCTTAATAGCATCCAATTGAGATGGTGAAATGGCGAAACCCAGACACTTAAATATTCATATTAGTTTCTTGCCGTGTACGATCGCCCACTTGGCCAAGCCAGGCCAGGACACGGCAAGAGCATCCCACGGCCCAGACCCTTTCCAGCCCCCCCAGCCGCTCCTCTGCCGCCACGCACTCCGCTATTACTTGGTCTTTCTGGCCTGTCCAAAAGAGTTTCCTCATAAAGCACAACACAAAAGAAAAGTTACCAAATGCTTCTGGGAAATGGTGGGGAAACTGAGGATAAAAATGCAAGATCTTACAGCTCAGCCAGGTGCCCTGGGCTTGACAGGGGAGCCACGGGATGAAGCTAAAGGGGAGCTGGTCATGCCACGGGACAGACTAAAGGAGTAATTTTCCCCTTAGTTTATAAAAATCCAAATTCTAAGAAAGGGCTGGAGTCAACTTTTTAACAAATGCGATAATATTGTGCAAAACCACTCTATCCTCCCTTTTCAAGCCAACCGTTTCCTCCCAGGGAAGATACAAAGCAGAGGTAGTCCTACCTGCCCGACAAATCTGCAGCCATCGTGCTGGGGAAAAAGAGCTTTGTCTCAAGCAGCTGACCACAGTAAGACAAGAAAAGAGGTGCTGGTGTAGGGATTAGTCTTGCCGTTTCACCTGCCAAGGATGGGGAGATGGAAAGCGGTGGCTCACGCCTGCTCCACTCGTACCAGCTCCTATCAGTGAGGCAAGATCTGCAACTCTAAGCAGCAGGGTACACTCCCATCCAGCTTCATTGCTCCTAAAACTCCTTCTAGTCTTCCTCCTCAGGAATCGTCCATGATTTTTACAGATTTTTGGTGCTCATACTCGGTTACAAAACACTGTCCTCAAAACTGGATAGTTTCTCTTGCAAAAGAAAGGAATAATAACTGCTCAGTAGCAAAACGGCTCAAAACTTGTGATTTAAAGTCTTGTAAGGCTGCTGCTGGGGACATACTGCAGACGAGGAGCTATTTAATAGAAGACAGCAAATCTTAATTTTGCCTCTGCTTTGTTAGGAATGTTTAAAATGGATGACACATGAAAGAAAAAGAGGGGGGAACCTGTTGTGCTGATGCGAGCAAAACTCCAGCCTAGACAGCGAGCACAGGGACAGTGGTCCGGGAAGAACACCGTAAGGATTTCATACACGAGCATTTGTTCGGGTTGTGTGGTTTGTTTTTTTTTTTTTAAGGCAACAGAGAAACTCTTGCTCAAGGGACTGGGAAGAGTTACTAAGATTGTTACCAAAAACAAAGACTTTATTGCACATTCGGAGTCACTTCTGTGACCCTGGCAGTAAAGCGGCCCTGGCGGAGCCCTGCCGCTGTGGGAGCACACCCCGGGGAACCGTGAAATGAGTGACTTTGCTGCCGTTTTATTTCAAGTCTCTGAGGAGCCATCACTGGGCTGGAGACTACTGCCAGAGAAATCCAGGGGTTTCTTTTGCACTAGTAGTTAGCAGAATAATTCGTAAGATAATTTAACTTCTTTTGCACCTAGTTCTGTGGCATTCAGCACGCCCCCAGTTTCCTTCTTTAGTCAACCGAAGCCAGGAGAGAGCAGCAGGTTTGCACCGAGCACCTCTTGCAGCGAGAACTACCAGGAAACTGCCGGCGCCACCGAGGCAATAGCCACACTCCAGAAGCCTTTTAAACAAAAATCTCTGCAAATTCCAAAGCCTTGAGTTAGCAGCCAGAACTGTGAGTACACTCGGTACCAAATAACATGACACGCTCGCTTCCATGCTCTCAAACTGATCTGCACAGCTATGCCATCGTCCCTGCACGCTGAAAGCAAAGGCAGTTACACGACGTGTGGCTCGCAGCAGGAAGGCGGAGTGACAAACCCTGTTAGCAGGAAGCATCGTCTTCTATTTTTCTTTCTCACGCTCATCTTTGTCGTTTCTCCGTCCACACTGAGACTACCACAGGATTTTTCTCCTTAAAAGACTATTTCGAGTAATAAACATTGTTGCATGGTCAGCAAATGATTCAGATGTATTTATTATAAACAACTTTGTCTAAGTGTTCAGAACTTTGATCCTGTGTGTATAATCTAAAAATATATTTTAAGCCTTCAAGGTAATCCATCTTGTAAATCAGTGTGACCTCTATCCGGACTGATTAAAAATTCCTTGAGAGGCAAAGATAGCCCAGGCACACTCTGGCCAACGCACGCCGTTGCCAAAGGGCCTCCAAGCAGAAGGTATCTCCAGAGATACTGAAACTAAAAGTACTTGTTCTGTTCATCACATCATCGAACTGCACCGAAACCTTTCTCATCTCAGAGCCACTAAGGAGTTAGCACAACGTTTAACGCCTTTGTTTTCAGCCAGTCAAGCTTAAAGTGATTTACCTTCCCTTGCTGAGAGAATATGAGA